TGCTTCAGCTATTTCACTAGCCACACTTGCTTCCTGTCAGGCAGACAAACTGTTAACATCATACCATGTGGCCTCCAGGTATGAATATAAATTTTAATTTAAATGTGCTTTCCCCTGGCTTTTATTATTAACATAAGTGTTCCTGCATTTAAAATTTTTTTAATTTTATTTATTTTACAGAGAGGGGAAGGGAGGGAGAAAGAGAGTGAGGAAAACATCAATGTGTGAGGGAAACATCGATTGGTTGCTTCTTGTATGTGCCCCAACTGAGGACCTGGCCTGCATCCCAGGCATGTGCCCTGACCAGGAATCGAACCAGCAAACTTTCACTTTGTGGGACAATGCTCAACCAACTGAGCTACACCAATCAGGACTACATTTAAAATTTTAATAGCCAACTAATAAGTGATAAAAATGTAGAAGGATTTAGGCACTTTAGTCAAATTCTGATAACAGTTTACACTTTAAATAGTATTCTCAATCATTAGGGACAGTTTATTTTCATTTCTTCAGGGTGTATTTCATTCTTTTCCAAGATTACACTTCTGTATTTTATCGAGAGCTTATAAGACTGGACTATGGATATTGGACTAGAAAATTGCTTGTTTTTGCCAACTGTACTTTGGGTAAACTACAGGATTAAGTTATCCTGACCTCTAGGTGGATGATTCAAAGTACACACAAACATTTCTAACATAAACATTTCTCATTTTCTTTACAGTAACTCTGTAGACAGAAAATATAATAGACCTTTAATATAGAAGGTCAGAATGATATAGTGGAAAAACTATGAGTTTGGGGGTCAGACAGACTTGAGTTTGAATATCACTACCACCTCCTGCTAGCTATGATCCTGAGAAAATTACTTCAGCTCACTGGGCTTCGGTATACTCATTTATAAAATGGAGATAACAACTATAGTTGACACATAAGGACAAAAACAAGGTATCCCCAATCTGGAATTACTTTAAGAAAAAAAGATGAGGAAAAATCATGTGATTATGGCTATTCAGGCCGTCTATAGAAATGGCACAAGCCAGGCACAATTTCTAAATGTTTGAAGAGATTTGACATCTAATCCCAAATAAGGTGATTAGGGTTTAGTCTCATGAAAGCACATCTAAAGCTGTAAAAAAAATAAGCCTTAGCCTTGTATGGTGTGGCTCAATGGGTTAAGTGCTCTCCCTAAATGTTATTGGTTCAATTCTTAGAGTACATGCCTAAATTGTGAGCCAGGTACCCAGCTGAGAGCATGCGAGAAAGAGGCAACCAATCAATATTCCTTTGCACATCAATTTTTCTCTCCCTTTCTTTCTCCCTCTCTCTAAAAATAAATAAATAAAATATGTTTTAAAAAGAAATAAGCTTTAGACAAAATCAAATACAATCCAAGTTGAATAAAAATGCATGAAAAAAGCTAAAAAAGAAAATATATAAATCTATATAATAATAAAAGTTTTTCCCTATAAAAGGAAAGCCCCAAAGGTACTGTTAGTAAAGCACTTCTAATACTGTCCATGGGTAAAGATACTAACTCATAAATACAAACATCTGGTCCATGGGCAAGCATAACACTAGAGTGCCTGGTATTTTAAAAGGTGTTATGTTATGTGATCCAAAGGAGCTTCATCATAGATTCCTTTTTTCCCATAACACCTTTTAAAATATAAGTAAATTAAATTAAGTAAATCAAATATGAAGCAACTAGTTTCCAGAAAAACTTTGCCAAATATGAGAGTCAGAGAGAGAGCTGAGAGATTATTCATCAGAATGTTAACAGTCTATTTTTCTATCTACCAAAAATATACCCCATCTTAAAAAAAAAAAAAAAGACAGCAATTCACCCTGGCTGGTGTAGCTCAGTGGATTGAGTGCAGGCTGCAAACCAAAGGTCGCTGGTTCGATTCCCAGTCAGGGCGTATGCCTGGATTGTGGGCCAAGTCCCTAGTAGAGGCCACATAAGGGGCAACCACACATTGATGTTTCTCTCCCACTCTTTCTCCCTCCCTTCCCCTCTCTCTAAAAATAAATAAATATTAAATCTTTTTAAAAATAAATTAAAAAACAGCAATTTATGAAAGAAAAAACTTCCACTGTACAAACAATGATGACTGCCATATGTTGAGGACCTACTCTGTCATACTAAATGCTTTATATATTCTGAAATTTAGAATGAAATGATATGAGAAGAAATTTTGCCTCAGAGACCACATGACTTACCTTAGCTCACACAGCTAGTAAGTGGCCAAGCCTCAATGTAACTGCAGGTTCATCTGAGTACAATATGTGTGCTCTATTGTGTTGGGAACTGCCCTGCCTGGTTTCAGAAGCTGTAATCCCTCCATGGCTAAGACTGAGTAAAGGACCTTGGGACCATAAGCCACTTAGGAGACAGAGCTTATCTTCCTTGCAGGGGCACCACCTTTGCCCCCTTTCTCTTCACCCTGCTTGGCCCCGGGCAGATGACTGATTAGCCAATGACAGGTAAGATTCCTCAAAAGAGGGACGACCTAAGACAGGCATGGTTGCCAAGGGGCCCTCAGGGAAGGACTTGGGGGGCTATAGAGAAAGGGGTGATGGACCCTTGCCCCTCAGCTTTGACATAGCCTGAGTCCTCATTCTGTTAGCAATAAGTCTCCTAATCTCTTGGCTGCCTTACTTCCTCTGCCTAACTTAAGTCTGAAACAATGCCTTAAGCCTGAAACAATGCTGGAGGTGGGTGCGGCTCTGTGCTAGAAAGAGCAGGTTCCCTAAGGCAATCATGCCTAAGAATGAATGCATAAAATCCTATGAAACCTACTTTGTTAATACCCTCAATTTAAATGATAAGGGTCCAAGCAGGAAAAGAGTTTGTTACCCAAAGTTTTAAGGCCCTCTAACTATCTGACCCTGACTCAGAATAAGCCCTCAGAGTTCTTTGAATGTTATCTATTGTTTAATCATTTCTGCATGACAATGATTGATGAGCTTTACCTATGCACTCTGTATTCCTGTGCAAATTGAACCCAATAAAAGCTTGTCAAGGCAAGGGTTGAGGCTGTCTCCCCATGAGAGAGTGGCTGAGGCACTCCAAGGCACTCTCCCCTTAAGAGAGAAGCCATGCCATCCCTTTTCCTCCACAGGACTCAGCAGTCTATGTGAATTTGTCTTGTCTCATCCATAATGCCGCAGACCCCAAGAGCTGGGATCCCAGTCACTATTGTGTCCCTTCCACAAGATATTTTTCCTTTAAGGTTTGACTTGAGTAGCCAGCCACCAATACTAAAATGATTCTCAACATACTAACCAAAATGCAATATTTAACAACTGGTGGGTAGATTCTTTAAAATCCTTTTATTTACAAATGGTTTTATTTTTCATTTTTCAACTCTCTTCAATATGCTAAATAAATTAATTACCTTGTAACCTTAGCTGTATGGTTAAAAATCAAATAAATGAAGTATAAGTCATATTTACAAACACCTAGAGATTTAAGGGTCTACTGTGCATAAAATGCCATGCTTAGCAATAACAGGTACTGAGGACATAATCTATGTGAATCTTTTGTGTTTGAAAAAGAGAATGATTATTGAAAACAGAAGATGGAAAAAAAACTAGAAAAGTTTGAAACTAGATAGGACTGATGAAGCCAGCAAATGCCTAGTCAAAAATAAACTCTTACATCACTTGAAAAGTGGAAGAATAAAGAGGAGATAGCAAAATCAAAAAGGGAAAGAGTTATCCTCTATTTACTCAAATACAATTTATGTCTTTGCTTATGTCTGAAGAATAATATACAATCCTTAGGGGACTGTACATATCTCCACATGTATATGAGCAATAAAACCATTCACTCACAACTGTGAAGGTTATTAATATACGCTTTTGCTCTTCATTTTTGTAACCCAAGTGTCTGGAAGATAATATGCCCTTACTAAGTGTTTATAGGATGAACATATTCTATTTAAAGCCAAAATACATTTTAAAACAGTTGATGATCAAAACTTAACACTAAAAAGAAAAATGAAATAAGTGCTATGTAATGCATATCAAAGTTTACTGTTTAAGTATGAACCTTGAACTCAGTACAGAAAATAGATGCATTTCATATGAGAGAGATTATGCAGCAAAAATTGTGTTAAGATCTATAATCAAGATGGAAGCCCTATTTTTAAACCACTAGCCTTACATATGGCTTATATAAGGCCTTATAAGCCATTTTCAGAATTTTGGTTTTCTCTCTAAATGAGATGGGAAGTCACTGGAAGTTCTGGGAAGAGGATTGCATGAGATAACATTTTAAAAGGAATGCTCTGAATGCTGTATTAAGAACAAACTGCTAGAAGGCAAGAGTGGCAGCAGGCAGGTCAACTACATTTTTGCAATAATCTAGGTGAGATATAATGATGTCTTAGAGCAGGTGATACTGGTGCGGGTGATGAAAATTGATCAATTCTGAATATATTGTGAAAATGGAACCACATGATCTGCCAAAGAATTGGACTGCATATAAGTTATAAATGAATGATAAAGAGAAATCAGGAGTGATGGCACAGTTCTGGGGCCTGAGCAACTGGAAATGCAACTGCTATTTACTGAGATGGAGAAGACTACAGGAGAAGCAGGTTTGGAGGGAAGATTAGAAGTTCACTTTTGGACATGTTAAATTTGAAATCTCTATTAGACATCAAGGTAGACATGTCAAGTAGACAGCTACTTGACATGTACAAGTCTATATACAAGTCTAGAAATCTAAGTCATCATGGTACCTAATGCCCTGAAACAGGATAAAAATCATAAATGTGTGAGTATAAATGATTCTTCTATAAAAAGTTCAAACACTGAGTCCTGGGACTTCCAACATTAAGAGGATGGAAAAATGAGAAGAGTGATAAGTAAGCAATAAGATAGGATAAAAGCAGGAAAATATGGTAACCCAAAAATCAAATGAGGCCAAGTGTCTTAAGGAAAAAGAAATGCTCATGACATTTCATGGTTGTCCACCTTTCTGAACTTTGTTGGGTGGCCTCCTGAAGGCACTGCACAGAGTTTCCTTTGTGGAGCTGAGCCAGTACTGGAACCAGAACTTCCAGGGTGACAATGAGGAACAGGAAAAATTATTGAAGAGAAGTGATGCATTGTATGTTGGAAATCTTTCCTTTCACACAACTGAAGAACAAATCTATGAACTCTTCAGTAAAAGTGGTGATATAAAGAAAATAATTATGGACCAGGATAAAATAAAGAAAACAGCATATGCTTTCTATTTTGTAGAATACTATTCAAGAGGAGATGCAAAAAAAAAATGCCATGTGATACTTAAATGAACTGGATGACCAGATCATTCACACAGACTGGAATGCAGGCTTTAAGAAGGGCTGGCAGTACAGCTGTGGATGGTCTTTGGGCCAAGTACAAGATGAGTATTTACAGAACTATGATGCTGGAAGAGGTAGCTATAGAAAACTGGCCACAAACCAGTGAGCAATAAGAATCCCATCATGAAAAACTCACTCCTTTGGCCTGTTGAATTTTACATCCTTTACCCAATGTCTGCAAACCTGCCATTTTTTCCAAGCTTTGATTAATATCTCTACTGAGCCAGAAGCCGCTTCATGGTTTCCTCTGAAAATTATCAAAGGACAGAATCTAAAACAATGCTTTTAATTCTAGTCTTAGAATATTGGCCATGTGTCAGGTTACCAGAATGATTTTCTTACCAAGTTAAACACTGTGTTCCTTGGCAACAGATTTTATCTAAATGTTCATCTATCAGCCATAAACACCATACTTCTTTCAGAAAAAAATGGAAAAAAATTAAATTTTATTTGCCATATGTGTGTCTAAGTAGGTTGATGGTCTACATTGGGGCCTAGATGGCTATTTAAAAAATTTTTAAGTGTCCTTGAGATAAAGTTCAATAAATGGAGTTTTCTGATATTGTACAGCTTTGCTCTAAACTAGGAACAGATGTTTGACAACTGAATTTGTTCCTATGTTGAATTCTAATCTCTAAAGGCAAACTTAGAAGTCAAGAGAACTTTCTAAATAGTTGGTGTAAAAGTAACTCTTAGACAGCCCCAGGGGATACCACCTGCTTACATGCTTTATATATCAGGAAATTACCATATTTTTCATACCATAAGACACACCTAAGTTTTAGAGAAAAATAGGAAAAAAAATTTTGAAGCAAAAAATGTGGTAAAATATTTAATAACATAAATAACATAATATTTCACCAAGGTAAATGTAAACAGAACTCAACAGCAGCATTAACAATCATTATTCCTCTCAAATTTGCCGGGGTTGGGGGGTGCATCTTATAGTCTGAAAAATATGATAGGTAAAGGACTTGAAGCGTATTTTCTAACACATTTTTCAAAAGATGTGTTTTTCCTAAAGCTAAAAAAAAGCAAGGGTTGGTTTGTATTGCAGAGAACCTTAAATATTCTAAGGAAAGTCAGAGACACTGTCAGTAGGAAATGGGATGAAATATCAGAAGACAAGAGTTAAAACATTGCATCTATGTGTTGAAGGTGTCTGTAAGGGCCATTAGATTTATTCTCTTCATTTTCAGAGTGATATTGGAAATGGGGCAGGTTTTAAAAAATTGCTTGAAGATCAAGAGACTGTCTAACAAAAATGATCAACAATGCTTCCCTCAGGAAATGTGTTTTGGCCAATTTTCAGGTTGAAGCCTGTCTTGTTTTATTCACTAATTTACTGAATTTCGGAGCCTCTATAGCAATGGTCTCCACTGAGAGGGGAGTCTAGAATATTTATTTTGCATTTGTAAGGCAAGAGGTAATTTCTCTCTAATAGTATATTAAACTATTGTTCATTAAAAACTGCTAATCTAGGATGACAGCTAAATTGGGGGAAGAGGAGTTTAGGGGATGGAAGGATTGAGCAAAAAGGAAAAAGGGTTCATGGACATGGACAACAGTGTGGTGATTGCTGGGGGGAGAGTGGTATAAAGGGACTAAATGGTAATGGAAAAAATACAATAAAAATTTAAAGCAAATAAAACTGCTAATCTAGTATAATTTTCCCTTACATGAGTGACATTTTTTTCATCTAGCAATGAAGTATGTCCAAACTTCCTGTAATTTATGAAACTTGCAGCTGAAGTATCTCAAAATGTGTACATATTTCACATTACAGTAAGTGTAGATTTTCTCATTAAACTGAAACTGGTTATTTGAATTTTAAAAGAGCTATAACTACATATAAGTGCTTAGGAAAAACTCATTTGCAAATATTTAATTTCAGGAGGACATACTATTCATTTTTTATTTCTTTTTACACTATAGGTTGAATTTAATGTACTCTACATTCTTTTGTAGTAGAACATAATTCAGATTTCTATAGGCCTTAAAACCACATACAGTGGTTCTATTTGGAATTGTGTCTTCTGTAACAGATTTCAATATAGTTGGACCAACTTTAAAAATAAATAAATAAATAAAACAATCCAATTTAAAAATAGACAGAGGACCTGAATATACATTTCTCAAAGAAGATATACATGTCACCCCAATAAATTCAATAAAAAATTTTAAAAAATAAAAAATAAGATGTACAGATGGCCAACAGACACATGAAAAGATTCCCAGCATCACTAATCATCAGGGAAATGCAAATCAAACCACACAGAGATATCACCTCAAACCCGTAGAATGGCTATGATCAATGAATCAACTAATAACAACTGTTGGTAGGAATGCAGATTGGTGCAGCCACTATGGAAAAAAGTGTAGCAGTTTTAAAAAATTGAAAATAGAACTACCATACAACCCAGCAATTCTACTTCTGGGTTTTAATCTGAAGAAAACAAAAACACTAACTCAAAAAGATACATGAGCCACAATGTTCATTGCAGCATTATTTATAATCACCAAGATATGAAAGCAAACTAAGTGTCCATTGATAGATGAATGGATAAAGAAAATGTGACAGCAATTAAAGGACATCCCACCAATAAATCTATTACCTTCCAGGTCTTTCAATTCTTCCTCACATTACATAGTATTTAGATGCTTACTATATGTAGAAAAGAATAAAATTGTCTATTTGAACTTTCAAACTATATCACATGTATACCTTAAAAAGGAAAATTCTAGTTGAGACCTTCTATACTTTAATTTTGAACTTAATGCAACTAACTAAAAAGATATTCTGTAATTACTTTTTGGGATTAACTCTAGCAGTAACCTATCTGGAAATACTTCAATTTGTTTCACTTTCTCTGTAATATGTTATAGTAATATTAACATGATTGAAGAGATAGATTTATTTTTGCTGAACTCAGACTGCAAAAAAAATTAAGAAATTTTAAAGAACTTTGAAGTTTTTCTAGAAACCAAAAACAATAAAATCTGATCACAGAACAAAAATTAGATACACTACTTCTTAAAATACTAAGCTATAAATTAAGCATAGTGAAGAGTAAATTTTGGGGGGATTTTTTATTGTTGTTCAAGTACATTTGTCTACAACAAAATCAAAGTGTGTGTCTCTGTTTTTCTCTCTAAGAATCAATAAATAAACAATTAAAAATTACTCTTCAAGGAACATGTATGGAGAGTAAAATTTTTAATTCTTTTATTTATTGACTTTTAGAGAGAAAAACAAAGAGAGACACACACTTTGATTTTGTTGTTTCATTTATGCCTTCATTGGTTGATTCTTGTATGTGCTGACTAGGGATCAAACCTGCCACCTTGGCATATAGGGACAATGCTCTAACTAACTGAGCTACTCGGCTAGGGCTGAGAACATCTATTTTTATAAGATTACACCTGTAGCCATGAGTACCTGGCCCAAATTTAAGATGTTAGCTAATTTTATATTCTTTTTTAATTTGTTTAATGTTGTTCAAGAACAGTTGTCTCCATTTTCCCTCTACCACTCTCTCCATCCCACCCATCCCCACCTCCCCCCCTCGATTCTACCCTCCTTTGGCTTTTTCCATGTGTCCTTTAAACATGTTCCTTGATGACCCTTGCTCTTTTTTCACTCATAATCCCCCTCCCCCCTACCACTCTGACTAGTTTGGCTCAGCTGGTTGGGCATCATCTCATAAAGAGAAAGGTCACAGGTTCAATTCCAGGTCAGGGCACATGCTTGTATTGTGAGTTTGGTCTCATTCAGGGCAGCAGTAACCGATCGATGTTTCAGTCTCACATCGATGTTTCTCTCCCCTTTTTTTCTCCCTCCCTTCCCCTCTCTCTAAAAATAAATAAACAAAATCCTTTTAAAAAATAATGATTATCTTGCCCTGGCTAGTGTAGCTCAGTTGATTGAGTGCAGGCCTGCGAACTAAAGGGTCCCAGTCATGGCATCCCAGTGGGGGATGCATGAGAGGTAACCACACATTGATGCTTCTCTCCTTCTCTTTCTCCCTCCCTTCCCTTCTCTCTAAGGATAAATGAATAAAATCTTTTAAAAAATAGTGATTATCTCTATATTCTTAAATAGTTATTATAAAACTGTAAAATTCATAAATGCATGTCTCTTTGCATTTATTTTTTTTTTTTGAGAGAGAGAGGGGAAGGGAGGGACAAAGAGAGGAAGAGAAACATCAATGTGTGGTTTTCTCTCACATGGCCCCCACTGGGGACCTGGCCTGCAACCCAGACATGTGCCATGACTGGGAATCGAACCAGCAACCCTTTGGTTTGCAGCCCATGCTCAATCCACTGAGCTACGTCATCCAGGGCATCTCTTTGCATCTAATCACACGAAAACTATGAAGTAATACAAGTTATTTTATATTGCATTGTGTGCCCACCACCCAAAGTTAAATCTTCTTCCATCGCCATATATTTGACCCCCTTCATGTTTATGTATATCAAGAGTTTGGGGTTTATTTTTGATAAAATTAACACAGCAAGGAAAAAATAGCAGGATGTGTTTCAGAATGTTAACAGTGGTGCCTCTGGGTATTGAGATTATAAGCAATGATTTTTTTGCTGCTTCTTTATACTTTTCTGTACTTTCTAAATTTTCTATAATGCAAGAGTATTTACATTTATAATCATGAGGATCAAACACACAAAAAGTGAATTAAAGCCTTCCTACCTGCCAAGTATCCACTAGTTTACTCCGTAAAAGCACATTTATCTGAAGATAATTATCCAAACTCCCTAGATCAATGCTTCTTAAACTTGAAATTTATACAAATCACACAGGAATCCTATTAAAATGAAGATTCTGATTTACTAGACTTAGGGTAAGGCCAGAGATTCTGTATGTCTAACAAACTCCCAGAGGATGACAATACTTCTGGTCCTAGAACACACTTTGAGAACCACTGCTATAATCCAGAAGAAAACATTTGACCACTCTTTTCTGTAGAAGTTATTAAGAGAAAGTGAATGACTAATTTTACTAGGGAATTTGGGGGCAATTTTTTGTATGAGATTTGTTATGAGTCGGATTGTGTCTCTCCAAAAGATATGTTGAAGTACTAATTCCTAGTA